AAAAAAATTAAAAAAGATAAATGTTTAGACGCTTTGACTGTTCAGCATATTTTAACAAGAGATCAGGGAAGCTGCTGGGTTCGGTACAAATACGCCTCAGGTGTGAACATCTCAGGTGCAACTACACTACACGTCAGTTTCACTTCTGGTAAAAAGATATTTGCTGCATATCTGCCGTCGTTGTGTTGCTCAAAAGCCTCAGAGTGAATCATATCTGTTTATATGGGTCATCCCCCCCCGTAACGGTGGAATGAGCCACAGATCTCAGCATGCACACTTGTTTAACTAAAAGGCCTCAGTGCAAACAGTGTTTTTCACGTCTATTTGAATCAGTGTGCCTGCTGCTAAGGTTTCCACACTAACTTGGGTTGCTTGTTACATTTACATTAAATTACATTGATCCATTTAGCTGAGGCTTTTATCCAAAGTGATTTACAATTGCTATATATGTCAGAGTTTGCACGCCTCTGGAGCAACTAGGGGTTAAACGTCTTGCTCAGGAACATATTAGTGTATCACAGTGGGGCACTGAAACAGTGTCTTTTCCACTGCCCCATCACCACCCCTGCTGGTACATTTCCTTGGCTGTATTTTTAAACAATATCCAACCCGGCCTCGTGCCTTCAACAACTGCCTAATCTCCATGGTTTGATCCTGCAATCACGTCAATAACCAGTAGACTGCTGCAAGCGGCCCAGAGGCAGCCATCCTTCAACCTGTAAATGGTATTGGGATAGTACTGAGATCTGGGTAATTGGATTAGACCAACTTTAGTCCCCTCTCTATTCCACCAGTCCCCTCTGTGAAATCATAACTTAAGAGCCTTGATAATGGTAGTTTTCCTGTGCAGCAGCTGATGGGAATGTAACATGATCTACGTCTGTAGCTCATGGCCTCGTTTTCCCTCCCCGAGGCGGTAAAGTCCCTGCAGCAGCCTGAATGACAGCTCGGCTGTGCCTGGCTTTGATTGACAGCGAACAGGATGTTATGCAGTCTCAGATGGTTCTGAGGGGTCCAACTGATCTCAGGCCTCTGTAGCGATCATATGGAGCATCACGAAGAGCAGGGAGGGAAGGGACGAGGGCTCGGATCAGTCTGGGAGGTCTATCGCAACTGTTTGGCTTTATACACATGGCAGGTTACATGGAGGGCTGCGTTCTCTCTGGCGGCTCTGGGTTAAAAGGCCTATCAGACAGACACTATTGCCGCATCGCTCAGGTGTGAGCCTGTTGCTCTGATAACTATGTATGTATGTATCCTTGCTTATAGACACACTTTACATTTTTGCACATTTAGCTGACCTGCTGTGGACTGATCTAGAATAGATCTAGAATGCCCTAGCAATCAACTGAAAGAAATTAATTGCAAATGTACCAATCATGTCTGTTTTTCCTATGATCAAAACTAAACGGCATTAGGTTGTTTTTTTTCAGGAAACTTTCTGGAAATCATCATATTATTTGAAAAGACTGGACCCGTAAAATAAAATCTTACCAAGAAGTCCTCTAAAAGACTTAACCAGGGCATGACTTGAAGAACATAACTTTTAATTTCCTGCTCAAACGTGCCTTAAGCAAAAGATGGGTATAACGGAACTTGCACTGAAAGAAAACACCAACACACAGAAATACTCGGGGGACATACAGTAACTTACTAAATTCAAACCTGATTGGCTGCAAAGTCAAAGCTCATCTTTCCTCGAATAAAAAAAAAGTGTCAGGTGTCAGCTGCAACTCAGAGGGACACTGAAGTAAGCAGAAATTTTAAAACATCAGAGGAAGCTTTCCTGAATCATATTTTAACCTGCCTCAGAAAACAAAGACATTTATATAAAGTGTCCAGAGGCAACATGCAAGCCTGTCAGCACACCAGGGTTTGTGTTACATTTTAATTTTGGCACCGACCGGAGAATCAGATCATTGTTTGAGAAGACGTCTAAAGCCGGAGGCAAGAAAAGGAGAGCAGACAGGGACATGGAGTGGAGGAGATTAAGACAAGGGAAGGAAAAGAATAAACACTGGGAAGGCTTTTGACAAAAAAGTAAGTCAGTTTTCTATTTTTAGAGTGAGGGGACCATTAAGTTCACTTTGATTATATTTTATAGATATTTAGACAACTAATTCGATAATGGCTGTGCGAAAGCAAGCCTTCATCACCGTTGTTGTGCCAAATGTGGATGTTATTGTTATGCAGGTTACAAAAAGACTGTTAATTAAGCTGTCTTTACCTAACTGTTGCACACCACAAACTGTCTTGTTCATTGCAGTAATAATGCCAGCTTTAGTGTGAGCCCAGGCAGGTAAACAAATAAACACTCATCTACCGGATTTAGTTTTTCTTCCCCACCCCTTTCCGACTAGCACAGCATTTAAATGATTAAAATGTGTCGCTAATTTAGGAATTAAGGCTAAAGCAACTAAATCCAGAGCACTGAGAAATGCTTCCCTCCCCACTTTATATCAGTAACTGAGTATTTAGAGTCTATGTGTATTTTCTCATTAGTAATATAAAAATGAATTACAACGAATCACCCCAAGCAGTATTTAAATAGGTTGCAGAAGAATAATTTCTTCCTGAATGCACGCACACACGCGCCTCTGCACACGTACACACACATTTCCTCTTTTTTAACTGTGTGGCAGGGAATATTTGGGACTAAATAACCATTACAGGGGGTAGAAACAGGCTGGAATATAAAACGCTGTCAATACAGTGCTGAGCGGAGTTTGAGACCTTCTTATCTACAGACTGCATTAAGACACAGCTTTCACTTTTCTCCCTGTATGAATAATAAGGCCACATGAATTTATTTGCCTACAGTCTTGAATTTGTAGTTTTAGTGAAAAAAAAATCATAACTTGCTTTAATGAAACATATTTACTTGTTGCATAGTTTTTGTTAAGGTTTGTATTCTATAATAACATAATGACTCCATATTTCTTTGCATTTCTCATTTCCTTTTGCAATTTTATCATCCAACTCTTTTCCTCTCCTGTCTGCTTTCTTCTTTTGATTTTTTACTCCAAACTCTCCGCCCCACCCCCACCACCACCACCACCTCGTCCCTCTCTCCTTCCCTCCCGCTTGCTGCTCATTTTTAAATCTATGAATTTCTGAACATCATTTTCTTGATTTGTCCACGCCCCAGGGAGACATTCTCATTCCAGCCCTTCTCTTTTTTCACCTCATTTCCTCCCTCCTGAGTGAATCTTCCAGACAGGATGTGAGGTGACAGTGTGGCCTGTGGAGGTTAGGTGGGGTGCGTGTGTTGAGGGAGGTGGAGGGGGTATAGTACTATCTCACCCTCTCCCAAAGAAACGGGGGTGGAGGGTCAATTCCATTGCAAATCCAATCCTACACATGATCACGGGAGACATACAGTAACGCCTTCTTCCCTTTTAGGATCCAAGCTGCAGAATTAACCATGCCTTTGTGGGACCTCTGCTCCTCGGCATGAATGTGTCTCTTTCTGCAAGACCTCATGAGCTTAAAAGCTATACACTTCTGCCCCTTTTTAAGGCTTCAGCTATGTTGAAAAATGTCAATGCTTTCGCTGGCCACATCTGGGCAGAAACAGAGGGAAGGAAAGCGGACAGTCCCCCATTTGCCCCCATTCGTAAATAAAGTGCAATGTGGATGAGGTTCACATTACACCTTGCATGTACTCAACACACACTAATGAAACCGTTACACACAAATAAAACAAAAGGCTCAGTGTTCATTAGTATAAGCCAAAGATTTTTATGACATGAATGTATAGCTTTTCTAATAGGTTAAATAGAAAATTTAAATATCTAAATGCAGGGTACAGTTTAGGTGTATGTGTGTAGTGGAATCAGTTTTTGTGCATAGACTAAACTGATTAAAAGCTGAAAAAAACAAATCAAAAAATAGCAATAAATACAAATTATATTTAGGTAATTTCGGAATTATATGCTCTCATCGTGTCCTGTAATTTTAATTTGTGAAGATGATTTGAACTACTAAACAGGGCACCACATTTTGATTTTAAAGCCCAAATTTCCTGGATTAGCACAAATGCTCTTTTACTTTATCCCTGGATTTTAAAAAATAAAAAATTGATTGTGTCTACTTTTCTCATTTCCCTCCACGCCGCTCATCTTTCCTGCCTCTGTATCCCCCCTCCCTTCTTCTCTGCGGGGTTACAGGTTCCCCACTGTGAGAGCGAAACAAATTTTTAACTCACAGGACTGTCTGAGTACAACAGTGGTAATATTTAGATCCCAAAATGCAGGGCATTGAAATGATAACGTCTGAAACAACCCTTCTTCTCATGCAACACACAAACTAAGAATGATCAACAGAAAAAAAATCTCAAAACTAGCGCTGGGCAAAAAAAAAAGATAAAGATGATTATCTCCATTTTTTGTCATTGACAAAATATAATCTGCTTAAAATTGTATTTAAACTATCAAGAGGAATTACACTGATTTCTACTTTAGTACAAATTGAAGGAATAAAGCTGATCCTCTTCCATCATTTGTGCGTCCACATGGAAAGGAAGTTATAGTAAGCAGAGAAAGACAGGAGGACTGCAAAATTAAAACTATTAGATGATGATTGGCGAGACAGCACCATATCAATTATAGATCATACTGCTGACAAAAAAAGTCCCAGCCAGGTGTTTGGCATTATTAATTAAAGATTATGAATGGTCTCACACAAAACATATGAAAGTTTACTGTAATATATATGTTTTACATCAAGACATGTCTCAGCTAATTGGGCCATAAGCAGAAGATCCTTCTCAAGAAATAAAGAGAACCAAATCAAAGCTGAGAGAGTTAATCACAAAGTTATTGGTTTTTGTAACTTTCAGCCACTGTGTTTAAATATATCTGGTAATAAAACACAAGACATGCATTTGTATGAACCTTGACTTTCCAGGAAAGTCAAATAATCCACCATGTATGTGCGCATTTGAGTATTTTGAATGTTTGTACACAGGTGTTTTAATACGTGCAGCATCATTCTCTTACCTCCAGGGCTTTCCTTTTACTGTTGAGCAGCTTGGAGATGTCCCGTGCCACTCTCTCCACCAAGTCCTTGGGGTTGTTTCTCTTGATTTCAAACTGGCTCTTCTTCTCATTATAAATCTGCAAATAGACAACACAGGGAATTAAAGGTCAGGTTGTGGGAGCCATCAGTTTAATTAAGAAGATCACAGAGGAGCTGTTTGCTTATTCTCAGATGGTAAACATTTACTGTAGAGCAGGCAGAATGCAGCCTGCCATTATACCCATAAGCCCCAGCACTGTAGCAGAATTAAACACAGAACAGAGCCCTAATGGCAAAGCACTTAGGTAGCCAGCAGCAGTCTGGCAGTCGGGATCAAATTAAATAAACGCAAACTCCAGCAGATCCTCACTGCTGGGTGAACACCTTGCATCTCCACGATGTTAACTCCTTTGGAACTAAAACAAACAGCCTTATTTACAGCTCGGCGTTGAAGGCGTTCCTAAACCAAACAGATCATAGAATTTTTGCAACCTTTGGAGGTTTGTAATCCCTTACTATAACTGCAAGTAGAAACATTTTCAAGCAGAAACAGCAACATATCGAGCACTCGTACTGGGACTCATTAAATAGACACAGGTTTTGCAAACCACAAAAAAACAAGTAAGAGGAATGGGTTTGGGATGCCACAAGGGACTGGGATGTTTGGAAAGGAGGGGCATCCAGAGGCAGAACGACAGAAGCTTGGGCCGCTGACAGAGGAAGGTACTTGGGAGATTAGTCTGGCCCCTGTGGAAGATTTGTGAAGGCTGACTCAGCGGCCCAGGCTCTCTATAGGATCTGTAGTCTACAACTGAGCACCACCCAAGGGATTACCACATATCCTGCTGCCCTAAGACACTGCAAGACCCACTTTTACACCGTAAAACCATTTTGTATAGTTCTTCTGTAGAAAACCCAGGAAATCCTGTTGTGGTTGAACATTTTAAAGCAATTAGGGGCTTTTTAAATCTTATTGCTGAAATGCTGCATTTACTTTTAGGTTGTGTGTCTATTTAACTCCCTTTAGTTTAAGGTACTATAAACTCACTTCTTCAATCAATCATTTAAGTAAGAAATTATACACACTTCATATTGAACCCTTCATACATGATGATATAATGTAATGCACTTCACAAAGAATGACTACAATCAACAACAAGTAAAATCAAGAATAAAAAAGGTGTTAAGCTTTAATTGAGTCTGAGTAGCAATGGGGATTATGAAGCAACAGCTTTAGTTAGTGCACAAAATACTAGGTGGTTTGGAGGGCCTTGGACCCTATACTTAACACCAAGGACTCTCCGCAGACGTCAACATCAAATTTTGGGGTAGTCTCAAAATTAAGCTAATTATTTTATCTATATTGTAAAATGTATTTTCTTGTTTAGATATTGACATGGTAAAGGGCAACACAGAAAATACGAATGATAGACAGAGGGGACAGACTAGTAACAAATCTGCAAACTTATGTCTTATGTTCTTTTTTATCCAACAGAAAAAAGCTTTTTAGCGTTTTGCCTATTTTGATTTATCAGTTTATTTTTGAACATTTTGTTCCTTGTTGACCTTTCAGTTTTTTCACTGTATTGCTCAGCAGCCAGCTCGGAGCAGATGAGCCTAGGCTTGTCGGTATATCGGTATAATGAGGCATACCGATATAATTTCAAAAGATATATAAAATTAGACAATACTGTTTATACCGATATAGTTTGATGTTGAGTTAATTAATATGTTTCCATGAAGTCCTGCCAGCATTTGCTTCTCTCTCTCTCCCTCACCGCGCAGCCCCGCCCCTCCCTCTGCGTCTGCACACAGCTGTCTACTCACAAAGTCTCTAACAACATGGTGGGAGACTCAGTGCTGGTCGACACTGCTAAAGACCTGGCTTATAAAAAGAAGAACGACGATTTAGTCAGTGTTTCCCACACATACACTTTACTTCGGCGGGCCGCCCATGTTTCATACTAGTCATACTATAGTTATTATATTTATTTTACAACCACGGACCAGGTAAAGCGATGTTATAGTGCAGATGTCATTCGTTAGCTACCACGTTGGTTTTGTTTTGAAAGTCTGCGTCGTTAACATGCGTCCTTAACATGTGGTGCAGCTGCTGCTGTGAACGGAATCGCGTGAGGACAAGTCCAGCAGACAAGTGCTGTTTTTTTTCACCGACTTAGAACAACATAGCCTACTACTGATGGAGAAAGTTACCGGAGCAGACATGCAGGGAGAGAGAGACGGAAAGAAGCGGGGCACACTGAAGTGTTTGCAGCAGAGGTGCGTGAAGGAGGCGGATTTAAAAAAGTGAGACTTAAATGAGGTGGAGAATGAAGTATAATTAAAATGGTGAAATAACAAACAAGCTAAGTTACTACAAATAGTAAAAACACCCCCCCCCCCCCAACTTAGCAGAAAATCCCGATATACATTTTATACCGGAGTTCTTCCTAACAGTACCGGGATATGACTTTTTTTCTCCATATCGCCCAGCCCTAGATGAGCCTACTAGTCGCAAGTCGCACGAATGTGCATAACTGCACACTGCGCGGCAGGTTTGGAAAACCAGACACATGTAAAACTCCGAACAATGTAAATATTAATATCTTTTTTTCCCCTGCTGCATTTAGGATTAAAGTTTGTGTTTGTTAATGTTTGGCTTATGTTATTATATTTTTTTACACACTGTAGAAAATGAACTCATGTTTCTGGTGGGAGGATATTTAGGGGTTATGTCATTATATACACAGACTGCAAATTAGATTATTATTAGAAAATCATGATATCTCTTCTAAAACTAAAAATTAGACAGCACAAGGACGGACTTAGGTCCAATTAAGAGGTTTGATTTCAGGTTCCTGTTGTTTTCTCACCAAGATTGGTGCTTTCATTAACAGCAGTCTGTTAATGAAAGTGTGTTGGTTTAACTGCGTACATCTGACAAGTATTAAAATCTATTTATGTTGTTTGCGGAAATCACCAGAGCTCTTTTCAGGCCTGAGCAATATGCCAACTATACAGTAGATTAATGTCACATATTTAGTCAATGAAGGAGTCTAGTCCAATTCAGTTCAGTTCAATTTAATTTATATAGCGCCAATTCACAACAACAGTTATCTCATAGTGCTTTTCATATAGAGCAGGTCTAGACCATACTCTGATATCAAGAAAAATAATGATGTACAAATAGAGATAATTTTTTTTACTGTCAATGATTTAACTACCATAAGCTTTTCATTAGTATGCATGGCATGTTAACTAGACTGGAGGGTTCTGAAGGGTGCAAGTATCAGTATGCTTTAGACCACCATGATCTAAATGAGGACAGAGTTTGCAGTGAGATAAAGCAAGGCTGTATCCATTGTTGTGTTTTAGTGGTCTAATGTCAGCATAGTCAAACCAAAAGACAAAATCAATCTGTGAAATGCTTTCTTATATGTCTTTAAAGGGAGAATAAGTGATTCTGCAGAAAGATTGAAGAAGTGTATAGAACTCTCTCTCCCACTGCCCTCTTCCCCCCCATCACTCCTGAGCACGAGCACTAAGCTCCACACCACTTTCTTTGTTTTCCATTTACAGAGCCAGGGCTGCAGTCACAAGAGCTAGCAAAATGTGAGGAAATATTCTCAGAATTTAACAAAAAGTGTATTGGATTACAATGACTTGCTATCCCTTTAAACAGCTAGTAAAGCTGGGGATATGCTATACTTTTCTTATCCAATGTTTTTCCTTCAGACATTGAATTAAACACGGTACACATACACAACAACACCCCACACCATAGACTGACCTCCGAACTTGGGATGTCACTCAGACACACATTATCCTACAAGACTCAAGAAAATCGGGGAAAAAGACCTGACAACAGGCTGACAGGGGGCTTGTACATTTTGCAAAAGAAACTGGAGGTAAGTATTTGCTGCACTCCAGCCTGCCAGTCTACTGCAGGACCCCTGCTATTTGTGGACTGATCAGTTGGCTCTGTTCACAACGAGCAACTCATTGTTTGTATTTATCATGCGGTGAAGGTTATGAATCAATTAAACTATGCTATTGTGGCCTTGGCTTTCAGTGATGTCTATTGTGTTTGAGATTCAATTGATGATCAGCACACATTACAGCACAAACGTCAGATCAGACGTGGCTGAAATCAGCACTTAACGCCTGATTCTGAAGTCTCATGACCAAATGTTTACAAATGAAACGTTCTCATATTTATTTTAAAAATAAGTCAGAATCCCTTGCTCTGTTATGAAATACAATATCTGTGGGATTGATGTTTTGATGTGCAGCAATTAGGAAAGGAAAACACTGGCGTCCGTATGATGCGTCTCTGTCGAGCTGAAGGCTGGGCAGGCAGCCAGAGGCAGTTTCATTCCACTAGCCCACTGCACAGGCAAACCTGGCCCCAGAAGCTCGCGCCATGCCAACCAAGCACTCTGTTGCGATTGCCTGTGTCTCATTTTGGCCGGCCTCTCTGGGATCAGGGATCCTGCTTACTTTCAAACAACACTTTAAACTACCTCTCAAAGTGAAATGTCAAGGTGAAATCTGCATACTTCATCATGATGCAACAAAAAAAAAACACCTTTATAAATGCATTTTAATGAGAGAAACAGGTGTTTCACTTCTTTTAAGTTTTGTTTCTTTCATTTTGTGCTTCAGCTGCTCATCCTGAAAAAGTCATTAGTCTGCAATTCAACAGTCCATGCTAGCGCACACACACACACACACACACACACACACACACACAAAATAGGATTCAGTCATTACCCCTCAGTTCTGAATGAGGCAGTCCACAGACCTGAGAGACCAATAAGCACGTGAGTATTTACACACATGAACATACCCACACACACAGAGGGCTTTTTGTCAAGGTGGAAGAAGCCATTAATGGAATCTTATTAAACCATAAAACAAGAGCGAAGTTTTCCCCGCTCCACTGACAGACTACAAACCCCTGACTCTTTTAAGCAATGCATTTTTTCAAGTCGATTTAAAAACCATGTCAAAATTGTTTTTCAAATCAATATTCATCCCCTTAATGTGAGGTAGTGTTCTCTGGGTCTGCCTCTCTCAGGAAGATTCATGGCAGTCT